TCTTATTATCTACTCCACTGCATTTTGCTAACTACCATTAGTGAGGGAAAAATAAATCAGAGCTCATTTTACACACCCACTGAGTTCCAAATTAAGGAGAAGAAGAAAAGAGAAGCAGATGTGAGGTTGTCCTCAGCCCTGAAAGCCCCACAAGGTTCTCCAGACAAGAAGCATAGCCAGGAAAACTAGCTCTATTCTTTTTGTATTGGTATACAGGTAGTTCTCGACTTACGACCACAACTGAGCCCACAATTTATGTTGCTAAGCAAGACACTTGTTCAGAGATTTTCGCCCCATTTTGCGACCTTTCTTGCCTACAGTTGTTAAGTCAATCCATGCACTTGTTAAATTAGTAACACGGTTGTTAAGTGAATCTGGCCTTCCCATTGACTTTGCTTGTCAGAAGGTTGGAAAAGGTCAGTCGGTTTCCAAGTGCCTGTATTTTGATCAGATAAGAGTTCTACAGATGGAAAATGGTCATAAGTCACTTTTTCCAGTGATGTTGCAACTTTGGATGTCCATTAAACAATCTGTTGTAAGCCGAGGACTATTTATAGCAGAGCTCTCATTCTCGCAGCCTGCGGGCCAATTGTGGCCTGCAGGACGATATCCTGTGGCCCTCACCGTGATATGAAAGTATAATATTAGTGCGGCATTTGAGGATGTTTTTTTAACAACGTTTTTTGTGGAATCCCTTATGCGGCCCAGTCTCACCCAGCCTCTGCGTCCAGAGGCCCCCAGGTAAATTGAGTTTGAGACAGCCGATTTATAGTAACAGAATCTTGTGAGGTTGAAAGTATTTGTCCTTCCTTTCTTTTTACTCTCCAGAAAATTAAGGAGAGTCCCTTCTGAAATGTTGCCCAAGCCCTCTTCTTCAGTGGGCTAAAACATTTTGTCAAAACAGACTTCTAATCTGTGGCTCTCCCTTCTGCCTCTCAGGATCATTCCCATGTACATTATAAGCCCCTTATTTGTTCCACCTAATTCCAATCATGGGTCTTAGCACAAAATTGACATTGAGCATTGGAACTCAGATTCAGCCTAACACAAGGGTGTCAAACTCAAGGCCCAGGGGCCGGATCCAGCCCCTGGGGTGCTTAGATCTGACCTGCAGGACTGCCCTGGATCAGCCTGCAGTGCCTCCACCAGGGAAAATGGAGCTTGGGAGGGCTGAATGCTACCCTCCCAAGCTTTGTTTTCCCTGGCAAGGGGTTGCAGGAGGCTATCATAGCCGAAACGGAGCTTGGGAGCCCGTTTTCACTGCCAGAGCACTCGGGCCACCACAGGCACCTGTGACACAAGTGATGTCAAACTGGCCATGCCCAACCCAGCCATGCCCCCCCCAGCCCCACCCCCAGGTCAAACATGACCCTGATGCAGCCCTCAATTAATTCGAATTTAAACCCCCTGGCCGAACATCTTCAGCTTAATACACAATCGAATGGAGCAAGCACATGCCTTAACATTCCTTCTACTCTGTTCCTTTTCTATACATGCAAATGCTTGATTTTGAAAAGAAAACCAGGAATCTGTCCTACTGCAAAGCAAAGCAGGATCATTTGCCATTCTTGTTATTTGCAGCACATCCTGGAGCAGCCATTTCCCCTTCTGGTACATCGATGTTTGATGACTGGCCAGGCTCACCATGGGAACCATTTTGTAAATAAACAACTGTCCTAACTTATCAAAATTCCAAATGTGTCCCTCACGCCTCCCAAATTGCTAATCTCTGCAATAAGTGGTGATGGGAAAATATAAAACTCACTAGATGCTAGATGCTCATGTCCTACCCTTAAACACCATAAAAATGTTTGATTTGAATGTGGGATTTCTCAGGAATAGAAACTGTGGCAAGTCAAACTGTAACTCATTTGAGAGGAAGAGAGAGGATAGATATCAGTAGAAGGAGATATCTAGCTCAGGGTTGAACTGTGGGGTCCTTGATGCTTAGTTGTTTGCTTACAGATGTTTTATTCCCCAATTAGATAACATCTATGCAAATCAGTGGTGAAATGCTACCGGTTTGGCCCTGTTCAACCAAACTGGTAGCAAAAATTACTACCAGTTCATCAAACAGTAGTATAAAAAAGCTCTGGTAATCAGCTGAGAGGATAAAGAAGAGAAAAATGCAGGATTGGCCCTTCCACCTGCCCCTTTCTCTATCCTCTCAGCTGATTGGCGCAGCACAGCCTCAGCTGGTGTTTGGAAAGCTGCACACACACACACACAAACACACACACACACGAAGTGCACAAACACCAAACTGGTACGGAAACTGATAGAATCCCACCACTGATGCAAACGGGTGTATGATTTGCTTCCAATTTATATATAGTAGCTTGCCTTGCCAGTTTTGGTGGGGTTGTAGTTTTCTCCTTGGAGGTTCCTTGATTTAGTGTTGTTTTTGTGCCTCGTTGTGTGTCTGGTGCTGATCTTTATTTATCTGAATGATGGCTGCTAGTGGGGAAGATATCTTCTATTTTTTGTTTCCTGCCTGGGTTTTATATTGTCTCTTTTGAATAGTGTGTGAATGTGTCTATTGATGATTGATTTGTCTGAACACATTAGAACATTCCAATTAATGTATTACCAAGTTTTAAAAACCATACCTCCACCAAAACTGGCAGAGCATCTACTATATATAAACTGGCAGCAAACCCCACACTCAGTCACATTGATGATGTTACCCAGTTGGGTAATGAAATGTCTGCAAGTAAACAACCAGGATCAGAAAGTACCAAGAACTCCATAGATAGAATAGATAATAGATAGACCACCATTTTTAAGTTAACAAAAACCCAGAACACTGTGAAGTAAGCTAGAAGTAAGTGGGCACCAATGATGTTGATCAACTGATCACATTATGGAGACCATCGATGTGAGGAAATATCTCTGAAAATGAGAACAAAAAAAGATGTTTGTAGTAAGTTAATGCAGGTGGAAAGTCTACAAAATACTATATACTACTAAAAATACTATAATAGAATAACAGAAAATAGAATAACACAATTGGAAAGAACCTTGGAGGTCTTCTAGTCCAATGCCGTGCTCATGCAAGAAATCTTATACCATTTCAGACAAATGATTGTCCAATCTCTTCTTTAAAACTTCCAGTGCTGGAGAATTCACAACTTCTGGAGGCAAGTTGTTCCACTGGTTAATTGTTCTAACTGTCAGGAGATTTCTAGGTTGCTTCTCTCCTTAATTAATTTCCACCCATTGTTTCTTGTCATGCCCTCAGGTGCTTTGGAGAATAGCTTGACTCCCTCTTCTTTGTGGCAGCCCCTGAGATATTGGAACACTGCTAGTCCTTCTTTTCATCAAACTAGACATACCCAGTTCCTGCAACCATTCTTCATATGTTTTAGCTTCCAGTTCCCTAATCAGCTTTGTTGCTCTTCTCTGCACTTTTTCCAGAGTCTCAACATCATTTTTACATCATGGTGACGAGAAGTGGATGCAGTATTCCAAGTGTGGCCTTACAATGAATAATAAATACCATAATATTATAAAAGATAAAGTATATTCAGGTAGCCTTTGACACATGGCCATAATGGACCTGCCCATTACAGCCACAAGTCATGACAGTCATTAAGCAAGGAGACTACATGATTACCTGGCTTAATGACCTCCATCCCTGCTGTCTCAAATGCAATTGTTAAAAACCACACAGGTCATTAAGCAGAGGTTGGGGTACCTTAGGATACGGAAGGCCCTGGGAGGCCTAACACAGGTCCAGGTCCCTACTCCCTAAGACACCCCATGTTCTACTTTGCATCCTCAGGGTCCTCACAGGCTCTTGGGCTTGATTCCTACCCTTTAGGACCCCATACCTTCCTCCTTATCCTGTGTTGAGGTAATTCCCCATTAGGAGAATGAGCGCATACAGGGAGACGTATTTGAGAGTAGTGTTTGAATAATACACATACAGCACACAGATACACTGTACAGTAAATGTAGGTTTTTACTTCCAATAAAGGTTTTAAGCAAAGTCCAAAACAAGCAATCCAAAGTCATTCACAGGTAGATCAGTCAGTTTTTTCAATCCAGAGATAATCCAATTAGAAAGTCCAGTGTCAAAAACAGTTCAGTATTAGACTTACATCAAATCCAGTAATATCAGTCAATTAGAAGAAATGGAGGAACGGCAATATTTTCCAACAAAAGGAAACAGATATACTTACACTCTCTTCTGAGACTAAGGCTAAGACAAACCAGGTTTCTGGCTCCATCTTATGGCCATTTGAGAAACCACACCAAATTGCATGCACTTGCATTCCCTTAAAGAGACAGTATTAAAATGTCTATCCTGGTTTATATATTTCTAAGCCAAATACCTGTTAGGTTACTTACATTCCTAACATCCCGCATCAGCATCTCAACTGGTCGTAAGTCAAGGAGTACCTGTAAAACAGTAATCATTTTAGAATTCAAATGTAGAGTTTTAGAAGTTGGTAGAACTATGATAGATCTTACTTTTCACAGGAAAAATTAGAGTTAAGCTATATGCCTAAATCAGCCTATTGTCCTGTCTGGGTCAGTTAAGTGTCCAGAGTATCTAAGAACTCTAAATTGTTGAAATGACCAGGAAATAAAGCTAGGAATAACACATCTTTGACAATTCTTTCTTCAGTCACATCACACATTTTTCTGGGGATTCCAAAGAATTCCTCTGGTGTGAATGATCTAAGATTTGTTGTCAAAGATTCATTTCATCTTTTGCAAAGCACCTTCCTGAAAATTGAAAAACAGAAGCAGGAGAGGGGGAAAGGGAACTTTGAAATCATTCCACAGATGAGAAAGCCTTTTGTGTGTTTTGGATGCCGGTGACTCTTCTTTTCCCTACCAGGTGCAAAAAGTTTAGAAAACATCGAATGCGGTAATCTTAAAGCTGTGATCTCCCCTGAGGCAGGCCTTGGAAATGGAGCAAACAGTCCTTTTAGAGGGTTTATTGATTAAAGTGTGAACTCCACATAAGAATGTATTGTTTTCAACCTCAGAAATATTTACCAAAAAATCAGGGATCATGATCTACTGGACAAAAGGAAAACAGTCACCGCTCTCAAAGCAGGAGAGGACCGGGCCATACTCCTGGGACTGACCATGATGGTGTGCTCCATTATGATGTACTTCCTCCTGGGCATCACCCTGCTGAGATCATACATGCAAAGGTAAATTCTTTGTGTTTCTTCTAATAACATTCTAAGATCCAAAAACAGAGGACATAAAACATAGAATAATAGAGTTGGAAGGAATCTTGGAGCTCAAGCAGGAGACTGTTTAGACAAATGGTTGTTCAATCTGTTTTTGAAAGCCTCCAGTGATGGAGCACCCACAACTTTTGAAGGCAAGCCGTTCGTGGGTTGATTGATCTCACCATTAGGAAAGTTCTCCTTAATTCTAGGTTACTTCTCTCCTTGGTTAATTTGCAACCATTGTTTCTTGCCTTGCCTTTTGGTGCTTTGGAAAATAGTTTGATCCCCTTGTCTTTGTAGGAGCCCCTCAAATATTGGAACAGGGCTATCATGTCACTTTTAGTCCTTCTTTTCATTAGACTAGATATACCCAATTCCTGTAACTGTTCTTTGTATGTTTTAGCCTCCAGTCCCCTAATCATTTTTGTTGTTCTTCTCTGCACTCTTTCCAGAGTCTTTCCAGACATACAAGAGGCACATGTAGAGTTTAGCCTTAGACTATATCAGCCTTCCATAGCCTGATGCCTGTGCAATGTGTTAGGATGATGGACCTTATTATTCTCCACCAACGTGGCCATGCTGATATAGCTTTCTAGGAACTGTATTGCAATGTCCAAAAATTGGGGAAGGTTGGACTAACAAATAAGAAAGGAAGATGCAAGAAATATTTGTTCACCTCATTATTCAATTTGCTTTCATTATTCAAATCCTGATACCTTCCAGTATTACTATCCATGTATTTCCAAGATTCACATTGAACACATTTCTTTCTTTCTTTGCTTATTTGTTTGTTCATTTCTTCTCTAGGTCTGCCCACTCATTCATAAGTTGCTTTCATTTTTTTTTCAATTTGTATGAAAGGGAAGGAATTGGAATTGATTTTTCCAACCATCTTCAGGCAGTTATCATTTTATTTCCGGAAAATGCTGTAGATGCTACATTGTTCTCCATTTTTTATTTGTCTGTTTTCGGATTAACCTTAAAAGAGTCCCTAAAGCCCAGAGAAAAATACATAGCACAAGGGGGAAATCGTTATTTTTAAAAAGAGTTTCTCCCAAGCTTCAAACTTGCAAACTTTTACATATTTAGAAAGCAAATGATATTGTAGCATTACTACCAGTAGTAAAATAAGAGAATAACAGAGTTGGAAAGGAATTGAATTGAATTGAATTCTTTATTGTCATTGTACATATATACATACAACAAAATTCATATAACCCCCAGAGACCAGACTCAACATGCACACACACATGACAATCCTCAAACACCTCCTCACCCGCCAAAATTCCCTGCCTCCTAAAAACACACAAGCATCCACACAACAGACCAAGTAATACTGTCCACTGATAGTGGTCCTTAAATTCATTGTTAACTGCAATTATAGCTCTGGGATGAAAACTATTCAGAAACCGTGTGGTCTTTGTTTTAATTGTTCTGTATCTTCTGCCAGAAGGCAAGAGCTCATTAAGATTGTAAGCAGGATGGGAAGAGTCTCTAAGAATGTTGTGCAACTTCCTCAAACAGCGAGATGCAAAGATGTCATCCAGGGCTGGTAGTTGGAGTCCAATTATATTCTGGGCAGTTTTAATTATTCTCTGTAGAGCTTTTTTGTCTGCTACAGAGCTGCTCCCATACCATACAAGAATGCCGTATGTCAGGACATTCTCAATGATGCTGCAGTAGTTGGACAGAAGTAGATACTGAGATAGATTTATCTTCCTGAGCATTCTCAGGAAGTATAGCCTCTAGTCTAGTCCAGCCCCTGTTCAGATAGGTAATCCTACCATTTTGACAAAGTAGTTGTCCAATCTGTTCTTTAAAACTTCCAGTGTTGGAGCACCCACAATTTCTGGAGGCAAGTTGTTCCACTGATTAATTGTTCTAGCTCTCAGGAAATTTCTTCTTAGTTCTAGGCTGCTTCTATTCTTGATTATTTTCCATCCTGCTTCTTGCCCAAGATAACCACTGACACAGTTGAAGGAGTATTCTTTCTTTTGTGAAGTAAACACAACTATGTGACTAGACTTTCACAAAATACAGTTCTTCTGTGAGAAGGGAAATAATATATAAAAACACAGCAGGAAAAAATGTACCCAGGGATCTCAATTGCAATGAAAGGAGGTGAATACAGAGTGATGTTCTCCACCTCTTTCTTTTAAAAAAATGGTTTCTGGTCCATTCAGATGATGAGACAAATAGGCAAGGCAGATAAGCTCTCAGACTCTCAAGTATTTTTGTGTAATTCTAACAAAGCAAAAAAATAATGCTGGAATTGTCTAGGACTTATCAAAAGCATGTTGTTCTGCTAATTCCAACCTTAATCTTGGCATGGTCACATAAATGTCAAAAGCATCTATAAGCCCCAGTCAATGTTCAGGGCAAACTTTATGTCTAAGCTTGGTTTGCTGAATTTCTTAGGTCACATTCAACTTCTGATAACTCGAAAGACATGTCCCAAAGGTGCTTTTTTGAAGAGGCAACTGGACTTTCTTTCTTGTTTTTCTTTGAAGACGTTTTGCTTCTCATCCGAGAAGTTTCTTCAGTTCTTGGATGAGAAGTGAAACATCTTCAAAAAAAAAACAAAAAAAAAACACAAGAAAGTCCAGTTAACTTTCGAAAAAAGCACCTTTAGGGCAACCATGTCTTGGATGACTGAGAATCTCCATAGACTTCTAAAGGCATGTGCAAACCAACTCCAACTTTTCCAAGGCATTCCAGTCTTCCTTTCCACCATCTTCCCCTTTCTATGCTTCCCTCCAGGGGTGGGATTCAAATTTTTTAACAACCGGTTCTGTGGGCATGGCTAGGTGAGCATGGCCATGTGACTGGGTGGGCATGGCTTCTTCTATTTTTGCAGCACCCCCTCCAGGTTTTTTGCTCCCAGGAAGCTTCCCTGCGGCCCAGGAAGGCAAAAAAAAAAGCAGAGCACACACACACCCCAGCACCCCCTTGTGCCTCCTGGGCCTCAGGGAAGCTTTCTGGGAGCAAAAACGCCTCCCCAAGAGGCTTCCCTGAGGCCCAGAAGGCAAAAAGGGACGAAGCAGTAAGATAGCGAGGGGGATCCCGGCACAGCTGATCATCAGAACAGCTGATTGTCGGAAGGGGAAAAAACACAAAATTCAGTCAGCAATGTCGTGCATGCATTATAAGGACTGACTGGGCGGGGAGGGGAGGGGAGGGGAGGGTGGAGAGGGGTTGGGCCAGCCAGGGGTACGATTTGCCGGTTCTCCGAACTGCACAGAATCATGACAACCGGTTCTATAGAACCTGTCTGAACTGGTAGAATCCCACCTCTGCTTCCCTCAGTCTTTATCAGATCAAAGTCTCACAGCAAAGCATAGCCGTGTCGTTCATAACTTATATGTATTATAATCAAATAACACAACAGGGTCACAACAAGGCAGTTTATCTGCACTGTGTACATGTCCTATTGACTCAAGACCTTTTTAAAACTCTGAAAAATCCTGGGGCAAAATATGTGTCCCATCTCTACGTATTTTTTTCTCATTGCCTCTTCGAGTAGTGCCGTCTTTTTTCTATTTGAAAAGAAATGCCAAGGACATACACTATATGCTCATCTTAAAAACCATCCATACTTTCATCCAAATGAACTGAGCACAATACTGAAATTGCTAACCATAAAACTGAAAACTATAGGAGTTCTAAAAATAATCACCATTTTCATATGGCATAAATTGATTTAAAGCAAGCTTAGACATAATGACAGTGCATTCTTTGCTGGCTAATCAATATATTAGATTAAAAATAGAAGTTCTCCATGGGCCTAAATTCTGGCATCTTCTAGCTCTCTTTTTCTGTACTGCTTAAGAATTACAAGTGGTCCTCAACTTACAACCGTTCATTTAGTCACCAAAGTTACAACCAGAGTGGAAAAAGTGACTTACGACCATTTTTCATACTTATGACCATTGCAGCATCCCCATAGTCAGGTGATCAAAATTCAGCATCCCCACAGTCAGATGATCAAATTTGGCAACAGGTTCATATTTATGACAGTTGCAATGTCCCAGGGTCTTATTTTGCGATCTTGTGACAAGCAAAGTCAATGAGGAAGCCAGATTCACTTAAGAACCGTGTTACTAATTTAACAACTGCAGTGATTCACTTATCAACTGTGGCAAGAAAGATCGTAAAATGGGGAAAATCTCACTTAATAAATGTTTCACTTAGCAATTTAAATTTTGGGCTCAGATATAGTCATAACTCAAAGACTACCTGTACCAAACTGGGAAAATTGCATATTGCCCTGTGATTTATTTATTTTTTTAATGTAGGTCCCAGTATTGTCTGAATTTTTGCTTCATTCTGGTTATTTCACAGGCTTTGTCTTCTTTTGCCTGCTTGTCTTAGCAACAAATTCAATACGAGACTGTCAAAGGATAATTTTCTTCGAAGAAATTCCTTACGGTCTATGAACAGTAGCTATTACTGAGGGTCAGTGCCGGGCGATGGATTTATTTGTAAACAAAAATAGTTGGAGATCGCTCTTTCTCCCTCACAGTTCGAAATGGGCAGAGCTACACAGATAGAAAAATAGAGCAATCTCTGGGGGGAAAAAACCAGTCAATTCTTTATTGTCTTCAAAAGGTTGTAAATTGCCCTCAAAATGCTGTTTATTATCTCTTAGAGCCATCTCATTCACCTGGGTTATCTATGAAGAGCTTGAAATATTTACATTCTAAGGAAAAAGCCACTTCACACAAAAGCATCCTTACTAAAGTTCCCTGACTCGAAGCCCCAGTTGAGTCTTGACAAGAAACCAAATAAATTTACAATTTTATATAAGCAGAGGAACACTTCTCCAATTCAATTTGGAATCATCCTGATGTAACATCACATCCTTCCCCCCTGAACTTGTCTCTTTCATTTTAGCCCACACTCATTTTTATTTCCATCTGAGAAAATTGATTTATGCCTTGGTGGAGTTGATCTGTCGGGCGACTATGTGGTTTTTC